TAAAATGCGGATAATATAGCATTGCGAAGTTTGCCGTTTTTCAGTCATTTTGCATTACAAACGGGAAATTGATAAGCAGTTTGATCATCTGATTATCATCAATTTCCTGTTTGTACTACCAAATGACTGAAAAAACGGCAAACTTCGCAAGGCTATATTATCCGCATTTTACAACATTTCGCAACGAAACTTCGGAATATTATAATTTTGTGATGCTCTTTCAAGCTGTGATGAAATTTTTGTTCAGACTTGTCTAGATCAAAATTTCACTTAAAAGGGGAAAGGTCTATTACCACAGTGGTGGCGCCAGAAATTTCCCGACGGAGGGGCTATGTTCCCCGACGGGGGGGGGCTATGCACATTTTTTCATGGTTAAGCGTGCAATATATACTAACATATTTTATATACTTAAAATATACAATTGAACCAGCATACGGCCTTTGCCATAAAGAAGTAACCAGCAAATACAGCCAAATACGTTTTAGAGCAAGTATTGCTTTCCGATTTCCAAATTGGAGACGATTTCCGGTTCGCGGCGTAAAAATATTCCGCAGAACACTTATTTCATGTAGAAAGTCGTCGATATCCTCTTGAGTGCAAGCGCCAAGCGAGATCGACTAAGATATCTTTACTGTATATATTAAGTTATTTACATAAAATGCGCAAGTGCACGTTGGGTATCGTTCCATGTTTCGCGCACCAATATAGGTTAGGGTTAGGGTCAGGGGTTAGGTTTAAGGTTAGGGTTAGGGTGTGTATATATGTATATGAATATATCCAGTACACTATAATATCCATTACATAACGTTTACTATATTGGTGTGCGAAACATGGAACGATTACCTGTACGTTAACGTTTATATATGCTATGCGAAAGTTACATCTAGAATATGAGTAATTATAAATATAATGTTGTCATTTAGCGTTATAATATATTTGTGTATTGATGACTAAAGTTACTAAACAGTTTTGTCTGCATGTTACAATATACCCATGCATGTGCAATATCATTGTGCCAGCAGAATGTTCGGAATGTCTGGTACGCAAGCGAACTTGCATAATTAACACGTGTACTATATTAAGAAATGTGCATAACTACGCACTACTACAACCTCGTATAAGAGGTTGCTACGCACTACAGTCACACCTTGCTAGGGAGAACGAGCATGGCAACAAGATCGTGCTTTAATTTCGGAATTTCTTCAATTTTTTCTTTTCAAAAACACACTGTAGAACGACAACGTGACTTTTTCCTTGGGCATAGTCGATGAGCATGTATTGCTGTAAAATACTAAATATTTGAATTATTACCGGAACTTGGCCTATATTTGGCCAATCTTTGTTTGTGCTTTCACTCATTTTGTTGGAAAGGCATTTTAGAATCCTCAACTTTTATATTTCATCTACTTTGCTCCTTCAGCACATACAAAGTTGAAATTTATTTCAAATTTCAATACTGCACACTTTTTCATTCAATACTGCACACTTTCTATCCAATACTGCACAAAGTGTGCACAACTGCACACTAAAATAGGCCCTGCCTGTAGCCTCTCCTATAATTACAGCTGTTTCAAAAAAGGTTTTCTTTCAAAAATCTCAACTGAACCTTCAGTTTGGCTGAGACTGAGCGCGCAACTCACGGCGCAAAGTGTACTAGGGTTATTTTCCCAATCAAAAGCCCTAAAAAGAAGTTACTCATCACTCTTAGAGTTTAAGATTTGAAATTTTTCGAAGGACAACCTCGGAATTAGCTGTACTATAATTAGTCATTGTCGATAACAATCATAAAATTGACCAAGTTTCAATTTTATTAGTCATGTTTAAAACACGAATTTGCTTGTGGACACATTACAATCTCGATTACAATGGTACAAAATCGAGACCGGCAATGATGACAACAAGTAACTTGACTTCTATTTTAAGCTATTGTTTCGTGTGCACTCAAGAAAATTTGGAAAATGGCTTAAATATATATATAAATATATATATATAAATATATATATATAAATATATATATATATATATATATATATATATATATATATATATATATATATATATATATATATATATATATATATATATATATATATATATATATATATAAATATATTAAGGTGAAAATGTTCTAGAGTGTGTATGATATAATTTCCATACCCAGCGTAAGCAGAAAGATAAGGTATATAAGATATACGCTGGGTATGGAAAGATAAGATTTACGATGGGTATGGAAATTATATCATACACACTCTAGAACATTTTCACCTTAACATATTACGGAGTGTACAATTACACAACTCATATAAATATATATATATATATATATATATATATATATATATATATATATATATATATATATATATATATATATATATATATATATATATATATATATATATATATATATATATATATATATATATATATATATATATATACATGTATATATATATATATATATACATAAATATATATATATATATATATATATATATATATATATATATATATATATATATATATATATATATATATATATATATATATATATATATATATATATATATATATATATATATATATATAAATATATATATATATACAGGGTGTATCAAAATAAACGCAATTCATCTTTTGTGCTTAATAACTTTCGAAATACTATTTCTAGTTAAACGGTTTTAGGTTTACTTCAAAGCCTGTTCTTTTCTCTTTCAAACAAACTATTATCCTTGTCTCCAATGCTAGTAATAATTGCACAAGAAAAGTCTTAACTCTACCTTTTCGGTAGGCTCGTTCAGATGTACGAACGAAGGATTAAGAAAATTCATCCCTTATTTAACAGTTCGCTCAATTTCTGCATTTGTTCAATCTGTTCCAGATCAATAGAATCAGACTAAGTCTTTTTCTGAACTGAAGAATCAAAACATGTGTATAGGCCTATGAGCTCGCGTGTGAATACCAGGACGTGTTTATTAGTAATGTGTATGAGCTGTCATGAGAATATCCGTTCGCAGGCCACAGGTGCGAAATGCGCAATCGCATAGTAGCAGAGAGAGAGAGAGACGAGTTTATTTCTTCGAATATAATTGTTACTTTCGTCCGTCCATATAAAATACTGAAAATAATGAAAAATAGAAGTGTATAATAACAACTAGCAAAACAATGAAATCAAGATAATCAATAATCTGAATGAACCATCTAAACCTTAGCGGGTGCGCTACGATTTGACGTTTAAAAATCAAGAAATAGTTTCTTACACATTAACACATACACATAGGCCTACCTTTCACAACTTCATAAAAAGCCGCGTGAGTAAACTGCGCGTTGCTTCTAACTTAATCAAATTCCACATCACATAATCAATTTGACCAACGCTTCAATGGTAATGTTATGTTGTTCTTTTAAACCGTTTCTTTTCAAAAATAGTAACGCCAGACACCAACGTGGTCGGTGATCTCCCGTCTCCGTATGTAATGTAACGCGATACATTAAAAGTTCCTCAGGCCGAATTTTATGTAATCCAATACACACGACATACAGGAAATGTATTTGTATTTCCTTTTGGCCATGCATTAACCGGTGAACGCGTGTCCCTTGTTCATAACATCTTACCAACCAGCTCTTGTGTTGTCGGTCCCAATTCACGGAGTCGGACAGAAGTAAATCTTAATTCTCATACCCGAATTTTGGGACCGAGTTTTCGCACAGTATCAAGGAAGAATGGGACCGACTTTTAGTGATATTCGGACGCTAAGGGGGGTTTCGCATCCCCCCAAACCCCCCTGGTCGTTATGGCCTTACCAAAGCGGTTACCTGACCTTAGTATTGTATTTTTTTGTGATTTTTTCACCCTCGACTTTTTACCCTCGACTTTTAACCCTCGACTTTTTACCCTCGACTTTTTACCCTCACCCTCGACTTTTTACCCTCACCCTCGTCTTTTCACCCACACCCTCGTATTTTACCTTCACCCTCGACATTTAACTCTCGCCCTCGACATTTAACCCTCGACGCTCGATACTCGACCAATAAATAAGCTCGAAATACTCGACAAGCTGCAGGAATCCCTACGTTTGACGATAACTCGTGGGTCAAGTGGATCAGATTTTCTAAATTGGACGATGAAGGATATTTTAAAGGCACTTCTATAGATGAAATTGATCGAATTACACGAATCATCTACGACGAACACGTCAAAACAACTAGAACGAAGGAAACTACAATTTCTTGATGGATCAGCAGCTGCTATTGTGAGTCGTATATTATTTTCAAGAACATTCATCACAAGATTGTAAGAAAATTCAGGATGTTTGTGAGCGTAAGCAGATACTTTGTTAGTATGGACGGTGTTTTATATATTACATATTGGTAGTACTTGTTTAAATACGAGTAAATGTAGTGTATTCAGTAAACGACATCATAGCTCTAATGTAAGAGCCATGCCAATGCGTCTTTAGCCGCTGACATCGTTAATTCCACACATTCGTGCGTAGGATCAGCAAATAGAGTAGCATTGCAGACAGCTCAGGCTTTGGTAATGGGAGGAAAGGAGAATGTGAGAGTGCGGGTTATATTTGACCCAGGAAGTCAACGGTCTTTCGCTTCCGGCAACGTAGCTTAATTAGAAAGCAGGAGTGCCAGTAAAGAGGAAGGAATGGGTGGAAATTAGAACGTTCAGAAACGAGGAGGTTGAAGAGAAGTTGAGAATAGTGTTTGAATTGAGTGTAGCTCCAGTACAGGGGTGAGAGAGTTTTAACATTGAAGTTTGTGGAGTAGACAGCATTTCACAGATTAGAAATGAGCATGTAGAGACAAGGAAGAAAGATTACTTACATTTGCAAGGGCTATGGTTTTCCGATGTTTGTAAGACCAAGGATGTGTTAGAAATAGAGTTACTAAGTAGCGCAGATTATTTGTGGTTATTTCAAGAAAGGCGTACGGTTAGGGGCAAGAGTGATGAACCTGTCGCAGTACAAACCAAATTAGGATGGGTGTTGTCAGGTCCACTGAAGAGTAGCTCTGAAGATGATGCTGGTCCTACATCGGTGCACAGGCAGGTAAGTGTAAACCTTATTGGGCATGTAGCTTCGTCGTGGTACACCAGCTGTAATTTCACCAAAGTTAGACAAGATACCTTCGATAGAGACACGCTGAGTAGTCAAGTAATTCTCAAACCAATCAAGTTCTTTATCTTCCAGACCAAATCTGTATAATTTCCTCAGTAAATTCTCGTGGTTTACCGTGTCGAATGCCTTCTTAATGTCAATAAAAATTGCACCAGTTAAAAGTCCACTATCTGCGTTTTTTCTAATTTTATCGGTAAAATAAGTAACAGTTGTTTCACAAGAATAGTTCTTGCGAAAGCCGCATTGAAATGGCGAAAGTAGGTTATTAATATCAATATGTCTATAGAGCTGAGTATGCGCTTCTCTTTCCAACATCTTTGAAAGGACTGGAAGGATGGAAATAGGTCGATAATTCTCCGGATTATCATGCGTTCCGGACTTGTAAATAGGTATCACCTTCGCCACTTTCCATTCGTCAGGGATGTTCCCAAGAAATAATGATAGATTAATAAGACCAGTTAGGGAAACAGATATTTCTGATGCAGCGTCTCGTAGTAATTTTGCTGGGATAGCGTCAATTCCACTGGATTTGCATACCTTAATCGATTTAAGATGGCATAATATAGACGAGGGAAGCACCGGAGTAAAATTAAATACATTCACAGATCTGGCATGGTGAATAATATTATTTAGAGTACAGGAACAATCGTTTAATTCGTTGTTCATTCGTTTGGCCAGGTTACAAAAGAAATTACAGAAAGCGTTAGCTGTTGTGTAATTGTCTTCGGTTAGTTTATCATCATACTTAATTCGGATGGTGCTAGCTTTGGTAGATGACTTTTCGTTTGGAACAAGCTTTTTAACGGCTTTCCAGAATTTACTTGGTTTGTCAAGATTTTCCTCCAATAGGTTTCTATAGTACCGGCCTTTTGCTTTTCGTATTTCTCGCGTAACCGTATTTCGTAAATTTCGATATTTACTCCAGTCCAATTCAGACTTACTCGATCTTGCTTTAGTAAGAAAGTGATCTCTTTCCCTCATGCTGTCCTTAATTAGTATTATAGAACCAGTTGTAGAGTTAGAGAGAGCTGATAAGATCCATTATCTACCACATCACGCTGTGGTCCGTAAAGATGCAAAGACCACTAAGGTGAGGGTTGTGTATGATGCATCGAGTAAAGAGACTAAGAAGGGTGTATGTTTAAATGACCGCTTGCATGTTGGGTCACCTCTATCCCCCCTGTTATATCACATTATATGGTAGTCAATTTATCCCGGGCGTTCTGTGACCCCCGTCCGCGATCACGTCAGCGGCAGTAGATTACTTAAATAACATCCAGTAAATTACCTAAATAACATCGCCCGAAGTTCGAAGGTTTTACTTTAATTCCAAAGGAATTTTATCGCTGAAAATCGCTGAATATTTTTCATCTAAAACTTTAGAAAGTGGAAATATTTTTATTTACCATCGAAGAACAAATATGACTGGTTTATAGTTTATTTTGTCTAAAAATACATTCCTATGTACATACAAATTACATTCCCATGTACATACAAATTACAAACTAACCTCTCTGAAATTTGAGGTCCTTGACGTGGCTAGAAAAAATAATAAATTGCCATCCCATCCCAGTATTTACTAGAAAATGTCAGCGGATCCTTTTATTTACATATGTTTATACCAGTATATTTTCTGCATTTGTATGTGCGGTGGCGTGGTTGTCTAGGCGTTGCGTGCGTTCTCACATGCTGCTAATTGGCTGCTCAAATCCCGCGATGGCCAATCTTTTGTTTTTCTTTCTCATATTTTTTTCTCTAAGATTTTTCTAAGATTGTGTTTATACAATACCTTTTGGATAGATTAGGGTTAGAGTTCGGGTCAGGTTTATTTTTTGAGTGTGGAATTACTAGACGGCAATAAAGTTTAAACAGTGTGGAATTACTATACAATACAGGGGAGTTACTACTGTATGACTGTAAATTACTATTATTAAATTGCCCCTTCTTCCAAATTTCGATTAATTGTTTTTTAGAAATGTTATTTCGCTGTCACTTCGGGCCATTTTGTAGTTCGCGCCAATTTCCATAATTCACGCGCGAATTCGAATTGCATTAATTAATAACAGTGTAAAATTAATTAATGCTAAATGTTGAGCCGCTGACATGATCTGATTTGATCGCAGACGGGCGTTACAGAACACCCGGGATAAATTGACTACCACATTATATTGCGCTTTAGACGGAAAAGCGAATAGCGCTTGTAGCAGATATAGAAATTAGAAAAGGCTTTTTAAAATATTGAAATTGATCCAGGTGACAGAGATTGTTTGTGGTTTCTTTGGGTGGGCAACATACATGAAGATGAGGTGAAGCCAGTAGAGTATAGATTTTGTAGTTGGTGTGAACATTTCACCATTTTTGCTGAATGCCATACTTCAGCAAAATCTTGACCGCTTTTCGAAGGGTAATCTTGAATTGATTCGAAAGGTGAAAGACTGCTTTATGTTGACGACCTGGTAGGAAACTCACACAAAAAATGATTATTAGATTAATTTATACCTTTCTATTAAACCAACTATTTTTATACAAGTTGTCATCAATGTCATCAATATTAAATCATCAATGTCATCAATATTATGGCGCCAATACGGATAGGATGTATATCTTCATGTGTGCGACTGTAAATTCGATAGATAGCAACCTGCAGTTCCTAAAATGGATTTATGCGAGGATTTACGTAGCTTAAAAGATATAGGACGACATCAGAAGTGAGAAGACATCGTAAGGTTAGCGTATAGTCCTGGTGGTCAACTAGTTACTGCATGTATGCCGATTAAATAATTGCTGGCCTGCGGAATGAGCGAGCCTGAAGCGAGCGAGCGTAGCAGCAGCCTAATATTTGCAGAAAGGGGGTTTTGAACTAATTTTATTTAGCGCATGGAATTGTGGTCGTGCGTGCTTTCTATGCGCAGAACACAAATTTTAAACTCGCTGGAGTCTTCGAATTTTTATCGAATTTCTAAAGCTTTTTCAAGTCTAATGTTACGCTTACGTTTGTTTTGGACTTTGGCCACTGTCAGTTCGATATTTTTATAAAGTTTTGGTTTCTTAGTGTGATAAATCTGTGTATATACTATTGTCCATTACCATATATAATGTGGTAAATGCGAGTAGCAGTAAATAGACTTGATATGAAATCTGATCTTAATTTACCTGTATGTCAATGAGACGCACATGTTTAATATCTGTCACCTCTGATTGCCTTTTAACCCCTTGTCTTTGCTACTTCAATACATATTGCTTCTTCTCAGTTCCATTCACAGCTCACTAGTCGCTGCGAGTAATCACTGTGCTTGATAGTATAATTTGTGCTGTTTACTGTAGTTCTATTTCCTTTAAAGCCCGCAGCAATCCCTACTTTGCAGGTAGTTAGTTATAATTAGTTATAATTTATTTCTGATTTCTATAAAGAAAGTAAAATAGGAGACCACCAGGGAAAGTTGTGTGTATTAACGTGTTCCAAGCTCGAATAATTTTTGGGTGAAAACAGCCTTATATACTGTATAGTTGTGTGACTGACTTGTGAATATTACATATAGCCTATAGTAAAGACGTTTTAAATAGCGATGGTGTGATTGCGCGAAAACATAAAAGGGAATTGGTCTTTTTGATTAGGCTTGTAAAAAGATGTACTATATCCATATATTTATAGTAACTATAAATATATGGATATGACATGTAAATTAAGGATAAAACGAAGTCGGTATTTCGTGCTTAATTGAGGGTCCTGAAGGGGGGGTCCCAATCCCATTTCCCACCTGAAATTTTGGCAAAATCCCAGTCCCAGTTGGATTTTTATTAGAAATCCCAGTCCGAGTTATTGAAATCCCAGTCAATAAAAAACCCTTTATTTATCAGTACAATAAAAGTTTTAAGACTTTTAAGCCATCGTATGTGCAAGTGGCACACACTTTATGAAATTTGGGGGGAGGGAGGGAGTTGTGCCGAAGGCACGGAAAATTTTTAAATTTGAATCCCGGAAATGGCATTAGCAGCATTCTGAGACACGCATAATCAGAAAACCTAGAATTCCGGGCGCCAGAGTATGCTTGTTCGCAGGTAGTGCTGTGAATAATATAGTTAACAACAAAGACACCAAAAACGGACCAAAATTGTATTGGGAATCGACTCGCATTACCTCAATCCCATTCCCATTTTTGAGGACTTCATTTCCCATTCCCAGTGGCCAAATCCCAGTCCCAGCAACCCAAATCCCATTTTCCCAGTCTAAAAACAGATCAATCGCAGTTCCAATTTTACCCCTTCAGGACCCTCTTAATTGAAGCCTTAAAATATGTGAGCGTCTTTTGGTTGCATGGTGCATGTATCATGTATGTATATGAATGATAATTGACCGTGATATGATGACTTTACATTCACAGGATTTTGCGCATTTTAAGGAGTGCATTCACATTTTTCAGTACCAATATGTCGTCATTATTCCTATCTGCATTCTGCAATTCACCTTATAATTGCTGCGTGCTGTGTTATATATTTGTCGTTCAAACTGTTTAGTTTCATGTTTAAATACCTTTAGGTCTTGATATAGTATAACACAACGCTATAAATCACCATTGTGACCGCATCTTTGCCTATATTATAATGGCAATAATTCAACAACCAGCATGTACTTTGCATTTTAGACCTGCTTCCAGTGTGACCAGATTTGGTAAATTAATTTAATTTTGGTACAATTTGGTAATTTTGGGGAAAGTTTTGGTAAAATAAAATTTTGGTAAAAGTTTTGGTAAAATTTTAAAAAAATCAAGCAATTTAGTAATTTTTTGGTAAAATTTCAAAAAATAATGTCCCTAGTTTAATAGACTTCTTAAAAACCAAAAAAACCTTGGAATATAACTACGCTAAAGAACTGCTGTATTGTGGCAATACCAGTCTTTCCTCATTGAGGACTAGCATATAGAAGTTTGTTGAAGGATTATGTGCATTTTAGTATATTAATGAATTATTTAGTTGTTGAGTCTCCTGTCGTTATTGCAATTTGTAATCAATCGCGAGAGTTATGGAAACTTATTTGGATGGGTCAGGGTATAATACTTATGGTACCGGTAACCAGTATCCAGAAGTGGGATACTGGATTCTCAGGGGGGGGGGGTACTAAACTTTGAATCCTGGTATCCCAGTTGCATGGATACTGAGAAAAATATAAATTTCAGACCCTGTATATCGTTTATATTGCTAGCTTTCAGATCAAGAAAGGTGTTAGAAATTATGTTTACATGATTATTTGACGGTTTTGTTATGCTGTCGCCATGAAAAAGGCCAAAAAGGGTGCAAAACGTGACTACGATGACTGCACGCAGCCAGAAAATTCAAAACGCGGAATTTGCAAGTGTTTGGTAAAAAAAATCCAATTTGGTAAAATTTCAGCGCTGCACAACGTTTGGTAATAGCCGCTGAGAAAGTCTGGTCACACTGCCTGCTTCACAGGTTATAGTATAGAGGAAATTACCGATGTGTACATTAGTATAGGTAATCATGCGATGGCGAGTACAATTCGGGATTAATATTTAAATCCATCCTCCAGTCTTGACACCAGTTCGTAATATTGTTAAGATCTGATTGTAGGAGTTCTCTGTCTTGGGGGTTACGAACAGCGCGATGACATGTTTGTTTTAAGAGTATGAAATCGCGCGTCTGGTTTTTTTATTCAAAAAAATTTTTGCCGGAACTAATCCTCGCCATTTAGATTAGTTATAAAAGAATGACTGATTTAATGCTGATCAAAGGAATTGATAACTGCTGGTCGGCGAAGGAGCGTAAGGAAATCTCCTTACGCTCCTTCGCCAACCAGCAGTCAGTCAATTCCTTTGATCAGCATTAAATCAGTGCATTAGAATTTTACATGGAGAAAAGACGCAGAGCCAAACTCGACAGCAACACCGTGGATGAAGAAACTCCGTTAAAAAAGCGTATAATTGAGAAAGACGCCATAACCATTGCCTGACGATAACGATGAGTCG